CGCCGACGCGAAACGCACGTCGTTCTCGTTCATATTACATGACTTTATAATTTTTTTCTGCCCGGCTTAATGCGGTTCTGTATCGCTAAATGAAGTGACTACTTAAGTAAAGCTTAGATAAATAATGAATAACAGCTTTCATGTTAACCACACTACATAGTTTAGTAATGAGTTTAGTCATGTTACGAGTATATTATATGAAAGATAATTTAATATCGGCTTGAGGTTTTGTTTAGAACTAAGTTTGTTTAAGTTTATTCCCCTAATTAGTGGGTAGAGAGATAATAAAGGAGAAACATTTACATACATGAAATACCTATGATATTTCACCATCTTTTTTTTTAAATAAGCTAAGGGGAAAACGAGCACATTTTTTTAGAGCCACTCTTTTTTGTAAATATCTAATGACGGGACGAGGAAGTCATGCGCCTGATGGTAAGCTACACGCCTGTCCAGTTGCAGTGCTCTCAGAGCGTTAAATCGCAGAGCTCTGAGGAGCACTGCCAATGCGCCCGTCACCCTGAGACATCATTTTGACAAGTCCCATGTGCCTGTAATTTCACCAGCAAAAAAAAACACAGTAATGCTGACATTATTGCTTGGCGGCAGAAATAGATAAGGGGGCAGCACTACCCTGGACGAACTCTTTCACAAGGATCTAAAACTAAAACTGATGGGAGATGGTCATCGTAAATAATAATAAATAACGCACCCACTTCTAGCCCCGCACTGGGGAGTGTACTTATTATGTACCCTGTATTACGGGTGCCATCGACACACACATAGGAGAGAAATAAATTACCATACAAATATTTCTCCCGGCCCGAGAATAGAATCTGGTATCTCTACGTGGCTGCCCAGCATGGTAACCGTTCGGCTACGGAGGCAGTTAGGCAAATTAGACTTAAAATCATGACATTGATTAAATTCCACTACTCATTTTTAAGGCAGATTCCACTGAGAAGAATGAGTTAGAAACCTAGGGGTTGCTCTTTGTTGTTGGGTCACTATCATGGATTTTCGTCATGCAAGTACGCAGAAGCTACAATAATAATGTAATATGATAATAATGATTATTATTACCAATTTAAAGACGCTCAGCGAGCTACGGAACGGGCAATGCTCGGACTTTCTCTGAGGGATAAAATTCCTAATGAGGTTCTCCGTCAGAGAACCAAGGTCACCGACATAGCTCGTGCAATAAGCAAGCTGAAGTGTGGTGGTAACGAGTTGTAGAGTGGAGACCGCGACTTGGCAAACGTAGTGTAGGACGCCCTCCGGTCAGGTGGAGTGACGACCTGCGAAAGGTTGCTAGCGGGAAATGGATGCGACAAGCTGAGGACTGGGCGAAATGGCGCACATTGGGGGAGGCCTATGTCCAGCAGTGGACTGCGATAGGCTGATGATGATGATGATCATTATGTAGTGTAAAGTTTTTGTCTAACTATGTTTATATTAGGGGTTAAAGTATGAAATTGCCGTTTTATTGCAATAGGTTCTTTGAATTTTCATAGAATCTTCATGGTTTGAGGTTTTCGAATGAAACTTTTTTCAAATGGTTTCTGTGATTTTTTTTTTTTTTTAATTTGAAACATTTGAATATCGACTTTCAATTGTTTTTGTTATTCAATTTAGACAAGAAAGATGGATACTGCGAAAATTCGAGTGATTTTTGAATACGAGTTCCGACGCGGAACTAACGCGGCAGAAACAGCCCGCAATATCAATGCTGCGTTTGGAGAGGGGTCTACTAATGAACGCACCGTGCGATTTTGGTTTAAACGCTTTCGTGATGGAAATTTCGACTTAAAGAACGAGCCACGAGGAAGACCGCCCACACAGGTGAATAACGATGAATTAAGAGAGATAGTGGAAGCCGATCCTAGTCAAACTACCCAGGAATTAGCGGCATGGTTTAACGTTACCTTACCCACAATATTGACTCACTTGCGTCAAATCAATAAAATAAAAAAATACGAAAAATGGGTGCCTCATGATTTGACTGATCTGCAGAAAGAAACGCGTGTTGAAACTTGTGTTGCCTTGTTGAACCGGTACAGAAATGAAGGAATATTGGATCGAATTGTAACATGTGATGAAAAGTGGATTCTTTATGATAACCGGAAAAGAAAAATGCAATGGCTGACCCCAGGTCAAATGCCACAACAGTGTCCTAAAGCAAAACTTACCAATAAAAAGGTAATGGTAACTGTTTGGTGGTCTCAGCATGGTGTTATTCACTATAGTTTTCTCCGATCTGGTCAAGCAATAACGGCAGATGTCTATTGTGCCGAACTCCGAACCATGTTGACAAAACTAGCAGTAAAACAGCCCCGACTCATGAATCGATCTTCACCATTATTGCTCCACGACAACGCGAGACCTCACACAGCACGAGAAACCATTTTGACCCTTCAGGAACAGCAGTTAGAAACCATTCGTCATCCTCCGTATTCACCAGACCTTGCTCCAACGGACTACCATTTTTTTCGTGATTTGGACAATTATCTACGTGACAAGAAGTTTTCTTCCCAGGAGGCAGTACAAAATGCTTTCACACAGTTTGTGCAGTCTAGATCGTCGGAGTTCTATCGCAAAGGCATTAATAACCTTCCCATTAGATGGCAGCAATGTATAGATAATAATGGCAACTATTTTGATTAAATAAATTTGTTAAAAATTTAAAAAATAAACAATTTAGATTTTCAGTACAAATCGGCAATTTCATACTTTAACCCCTATTATTATAAACCTCGCGAATGGCAAATTTTGAATATAAACCGGAATCTTATTATAGAAGCACATTGCCCCGTAAATGAACTTGGGACTTTTTAGATCCTTAAAACATAGTTTAATTTTCATTATAAAGAAATCGCGAAAACTTTAAGGTGAAGTTAGATATTTTATACAAGGTGACAATAAGGTAAATTGCAGTTACTCGTTATTAACTAAATTACCCGATTAATACTTACCATTTTTTTAAACACATACACAAACAGTGTTTTTTTCTAAGAAGTTCAGTACTTGTTGTTATTACAACACCGTCTAAAGTAATCTACTTGCTGACAGTTAAAGTTAACATTTTAGTTCGCACATAATTAACTAATTTTACAATAAAAAAAATACTTTCAAGACATACACTGCCCTGCTTTTAATAGATACGCTCATTCGAAATCATGCTGTCAGCACGCTGGATAGTGTATGGCTCGCTTTAGTACAATCTATACTAATAAATCGTTTGTTAAAAAGTACGACAAGACCTTTAATTTGTGTACTCTTGTTTCATATTGTTGTATATATTCTATTAATCTCTTTATTAAACTATGTCTACGACTTACTAAAAGCTGTTGTTAAGTTTTGCTTTGTAAAACTCAATTCAATATTGCTGCTTTCTATACACGATCGACTTTTAATTTCGAATGATTGACGTAGAATATAATAGCACAATAATAACAGATATTTTAAAAAGTCCAGCAAAATTACTGTTGACGAAAAGAGGTGAATTTGTACTATTATCTCATGTTCATAATGTATCTTTAAAAAAATTAAGCTAAAAAACTGATTTAATGTGGAGTGTTACTCCTATCGGCGCAGTCACTCGAGCTGCATGCCGACTGCAACTGTAAAATTGGCGATTGCACGTTGAGTGACTTCAACCTACATTTTATAATAATTAGTGTTAATATAATGATTTTACATATTAATAAATAAATTTAGTTAGGAGAAAACTTGAAAGTCCTGAAGGGTTGTGATCTGAACTTTGCAGGGTTGCTGCAGGAACTACCTGCGTTAAAATTATCAAAAATGTTCCATATAGTGAGAATATTTATTTGTTTTTTATGCTTGAAGATGTCAAAACCAACAAAATGTAATGAACAAAAATCTTGATTTTAAAGTTGAGTGTGTTTGTAGAGCTTGAGTGAAAACCGTTACGTAATGTTACAACCATTTGGAAGACCAGTGAAGGGCAAGAAATCCATAAGAAATACCCATCTCCTTCATTCCATAATAAAAGTCGTATCGTGAGTAGTAAACATTGTGAGCAGTGAAGCGTTAAGTCCTTTTACAGACGGGCCTGCACTGCAGTGTCGATTGTTATTTCAATGCCGCTGCAGGCCATGTGTCTTTGAAAGGAATAAAACGAAAGTGCTATTAATACAAAAAAGATGTCATGGACACAGAAATGTGGGTTGTCATTTAGTCTTCCTTTTAGCGTAGAATTGCATAGTGTAATGTCGAGTCGGGAGATTGGTAATTTGAATTTTGGAAGACTGCGGGGGACATGAGGCAACACGCAGAGGCCCTTGATGATTTAATTATAATTTGCATGTATCACCTCTGGTTGTGGTGTCTATATTGGGCTACAGTTAACATTTTTATTAATAATTAATTTTACCTTGCCCATAAAGGTTTGTTTCAATAATGTCAAGAATAGTATGTCAAGCAATTTTACTTTAACAAACAACAGCGTATGATAGAAAGTTTAAATGAACTAGAATATCAGCTCTAGTATTGCGTCCACGTACAACATCTTTTTTGTATAAATGTGTTTAAAACCAGTGTAAGTAGAACTCAGCGTGTATGTGTGTGCGCATCGCTTCTACTGCTTGTTATGTTGTCTAGTTGTATTATTTCACCAATCGATGAGTGAACGATACGGTAAATTTCACTCACTTAGTAGAGTGATTAATGTGTGCTCTATAACTTACACTTTATTGACTGTTAAAGTTGTAAAATACTTTATACACTACCCAATTTTGTTATCACATGAAAATTAAACAATTTTTAATCCAACGATTTTTTATCAGACTTCAAAATTGGATCGTGTATCGTAACTTTGAGTATTCTGAGTAATATTGTTTTCACATTTGTAAATACATTTTTAACAATATAGACTGAATTATTAGCACAATTCTAGACTGCTAAAAATCTAACCTATATATAAAGCATTAGTTTTCTAATCTAGCTGTAAGCCGTCTAACACAGACACAAGAACTTACTCTCTGGTTTAAACGTGACCCGGTCTGAAATCATAAAATTGGATATTAATTTCGTGAAGGCCGTGAGCCCCGACCGATTGAATTGCCTGCTGCGTCATAAAATTAATGTAGCCAAGATTCAGACGGTCCGATTTTATTAGGTTTTTATGGGAATATTTTAATTAAATATGTTTGCTATGACAGCTGACTTCCTCAAAGTTAGATGAACAGCCAGCTGACTGCGTGTAATTTCGCCATTAGAATCACAATTTACCAATTAATTGTCTTCCAGAAGTTGAATAGATAACGAGTAGAAGAGAGTAGATATTTGTTTTTGGGTTGTCAATGTTATTTTGTAATTGGTTCCATTATAAAAAAACATGAAATAACTTTATTTTCCTTCAAAAACTTTGTTTTTGTGGTAAGGACAACGAAGAGTTGGGTTTCTCTTTATTTCTTCTTTATTTATTTTTAAAAAATTATGACAATGAACTCAGAAATGTGTAGATTTGCGAGATTATGTAAATACGTTATGTAATCTAAGCATTGTAGCAGCCACAAAAGCAAATTTTCGGAGGAATAGTTACATTTTTTCTCTTTTTAATCCTGGCTGTTCAATTAAACTCTTTGCAATTTGTTTAATAATTGACAAGAGGAAACAGAATCTTTTTGAAAATTTGTTACTCAATATAATTAGAAGGACCAGTTCTTCAAATGCTAATACTGATCCGGAAAAAGAGAATGTAATGTCATCAGCATTTCGCTTTACGCTGTTTGCCAGCAGAACACTCTGTGAACTGTCTTACCCGATGATATGCACATTGATTTCAAAAATCAACATTAGCGAAACCGTGGGAAGGTCCAGATGTAATATATCTGCAGTTTTAATATTAAACGTATTGTAAAAAGCTGCCGGAAATTTAAAAAACTGAGATATTATTTGAGTCTTCAATTGTGAATTGAAAATAACATATAATTGAAAATAATAAATATAATATACTTCGTTATTCATATTTTTACTAAAAATCTACGATTGATGCATTGACTTGATGTGACATATTTGTAAATGGAAAACAGTTATGATATTTTTGTCATAAATAATTATTTAGCCAGCAACAAATCGGAATGTCTGTACCCAGCCTGTTCCCAAAAGACGAAGGTATCCTAAATATTTGCTAAGCTAATTTCTTTACGTGTTTACTTAACAAATGTCTACTCATGCATGGCAAATGTACATTGTGTTTGCTAGAAATTTTGAAAAAAATTGTGTAAAGAAATAAAAATAGAATATAATACATAATACCTTTAGATTTACTTTCAGATATACTTACCCGTTGATATGGATTACTCATAAAACAAGAGAAGCGACGTGTACATAACGTTTTTGCGTAGGTTCATAAAGTTTGTCACTTACCTACACAGCAGAAGAGCACGAACAAAACATGAAACAAGGACAAAAATCATTCATTACAAAAAATTTAATCAAAACAGTCGTAAAAAGTGGATGTAATAAAATTTAATACTCGAGTATAAAATACCACAAAAGCTTTTGGCGTTATGGTCCAGTAAGATAATGTGCCGCGAATTGTAGGTCTGCTTTTATACACTTGTTTTTTTTTGAAGGTGAGAAAGCGACGATGTAATAACAACACATGTAATGCGACTTGCCAGATGGCCGGGAAACCCGGGATTATCCCGGAATTTTTCATCTTGTCCCGTGTCCAGTAATTAGACTTTACTGTCCCGGTTTCCAAACACTTAGATGTTGTATTTACGAACTTACTAGAGTCCTTTTCATAAAACAAGTCCCCCAGACGCAGCGCTGTAGCCGTGCAAAGGAATATCGAAATATTGATTGATTAAAAACTCCCAAAAGATGGTAGAAAACAATGTTGCGCCCATGTTATGACCGTCAAATTAAATAGACGGCTCATCCTAGAAGAATCGTAAGAACAATAGAATGTTTGTTATCCTCCAGCTTCCAACTGAACACATATGATATTCGTGGATGCTTTACAGGTCTGGTGACGTGGTACTACATAATTACGATTTTTCTCCCTTTCTGACCACAAAGTGAACGATTTTCTTGCAAATTACGTAAGTACTACATAATTTTAGCATCAAGAGGTTCCCCATAAGGAATATTTTCATTATATTTGAATCCTTGAAATTTGAACCTTGTGTTTTTTTCCGACGCCTGGCGCGTCCTTCTGGCGCCTACCCCATCCCCCTTGCAGCTTCCCACTACGTATGGTGCAAGGACAATTATTTCGCAACTGATATTAAAAAAGATTTTTATGTGTTGCAACCATAGATTTAGAAAAAAGGGGGATATTTTATATGAGGGCGTGGTTCGTGTCGCCTTGATATGCCCAAATTGCGCATATTTAGGCGACACGCCTTCAAACATTGCCACAATGACATGGCTATCGTTGTATACACAAGTTCTCTCGTAAAACATGAAAATGTCAGGTTGCAGCGGTATATCATGTAAAAATTAGAATGAGAATAAAAATTTAAAAACCAGTGGGATAACATACCACCGGTTATTTGCGTTTTCAATTACTGTTTCTATTATTATTCAATGTTTTCTTTTCGTCTCCATAGAAATTTCTTAACTCGGTTGCCACATAAAAGCTGATTAAAAAAAGGAGGTTCTCAATTTGACTGCTTTTTTGTGTACATATTTTACGTGATTATTCCGATATTTGTGAACCGAATTTCGATGATTCTTGTTCTCTTGAAAACAAGTCCTGGTCGGTAGTGCTCTCATTGAGATTTGAAAAAAATATTCCACTTGTTACGGTGGAAAATTATGATATATACCTTTTTATTTCATTGACATTCAATTATTTTTCTAGTATGTTACAATTATTAATACAAAGATCGAACATTCGGAATAAAATCCTTCGATCCGACCGGATTCGAAGCGACGTCTTCTAGCATACCGTGCCAGATGCTATACTAACTAAGCCACGGAACGAACCTGCGAACCTCACGAATTTTTCTATGTCGTATCTTTGTATTTGGTTTTTCAACGACTTTTTAACTGTAGCGCCATCCATGAGAAATCTATGATATTTCACCCAATTAGATACCTTTACAGCTACCAACCCCGGCTAGAAATGTCGCTATTCATTGTATTTAAATTTTTATTGAATTGATATTCAATTATTTTTATTTGAAATTACTTTTTCTGAATGTTCGATCTTTGTATTAATAATTTATCAAATACAAATTATAAGGCGATTAGGGTTTCTTTTAGGCGAACTATTTTACATTACATTACCAAGAGTACGACTTGGATGACAATATATTTTTATTATTATACTAAAAAAGGGACGAAAACGTCGTGGGCGAGGTGGTAAGCGACACACCTGTTCATAACAGGTACAGTGCCTCTCAGGGTTTTAAGTCATAAAGATCTGAGGGGCACTGACACTGCATTCGTCAGTCTCAGGGGATATAAGTTGGCAAGTTCCATGTGTCTGTAATTTCACCAACATCCCTAACCTTTCAAAACCGGCACGTAGTAATGTTCACATTACTGGTTAGTGGCAGAAATAGGTAGGGCTGCCACTGCCAAGTGCTACTCTTTCACAAGGAGCTCTACTGCTTTTAAAATAAATTCTACCAAATTTGTGGAATAAGTATTCAAAGGTTTCGAAAAAATTTGATAGAATTCCCGAAAACACTGATAATTTTTCGTATTTACTTTTCGCATTTAAATTACACTAAACAATTTAACACTAACTTTGCGTTGTCTGTTCCATAGTTTATTAAATAATATATTCTGGTTACAATAAATAAATCAGGCAAACGACAAATTCATTCACATACATTTCGCCGAATTTTTTAGTCCATAGTCCTTAAGACTGCGCCGAAGCAGCGATTCGTAATTGCGAAAGAATTGCGTTCATTTGATCCCTGGATGAGTCGTTATTAGCAAAGCTTTAGTTATGAAATTAATATTATAAGATATTTAAGGATTCACTCTATAAATACGATTTCTTGTAGTTACCTCGATAGATAAAAATCCGAATTTATCTCTAAAGAACAAGATAAACTCTTCTTCGTAAATATTTCACGGAATGTCATCAGTTTTTGAATAACAACAAAACTACAACTTTTCTTCAACGTATACTCTTTACATTATCAAAACGTGTATTTGTTTTAATAATACGAAGGAAATACCTAAATTCGCCAGCGGTCCGTCCATACCAGCCAGAGCCGCCACGCTTCCCCCCTATCCGCTTTAGTCCTGCTTCGGCCGTCGAAAGTGGAGGTTACGTCGCTTGGGCTTACTTAAAATCAATTAACACCAGTTGCCCTCTTAATCATGAGCTTCTGCTACAGTGACTCGATGATAACTGCGCGTCAAGCCCTGACAACTCGACTTAGAGGACGGAAAATAATAATAGCGTGCCGGTACTGTAGTGCACAAGCGACATCCGAAGTGGGTCCCAGTTTTCTAGATTTTTATAGTCTCGGATTCGGAACGAATATATTAGCAAACGCGCTTACGCACATCGCTTCTAACTTAGGCCGCTGCCCTCTATAGAGTAGAATCCCCTTCCCTTATAAACAGCCGGTTTGCATGTAAATTGTAACTTGGCACACCGACAACGACAAATGGGTGACAAGTCTCTATTGAGCTATTTAGAACCGTAAACTTGTCGATGTTCAGTTTTGATTTGTTTGACAGAAACACATGAGCTTGTAACGGCTGAACAATTGTGAGGTCAGACAGATTGGTTCTAATGACAAATTGAGTATTGAATTTGATTTATGGATTTAAAAATGTTACGCTATTGAATTTTTTTTAATTTTATTTTAATTTTTATCAAAATGACATATTTTTGTACATTTGTTATGTAATTTAATGACAAAAATATTGTTATTAATGAATTGTTAATTTTCTAATTGTGTATTTTTCTTATAATTTTCATTTTTGTTTGACGATTCCAATATAATTTCTTATACTTTGACATATATGTATTTGAAATAAATGAATCTGCATCTGAATCCGAATCTGAAAGGGAAAT